CAGAAATAAGTTGGATTTACCTTTCATAGGATCATCAGAGTTGTAGGAGACTGTGGGCATCATCTGATTTAGGGCTTCCATTTTTCCATTACAGATATCAAGATAACAGACAACCAGACTGGGTTCTGAGGCTTGAGTTCTAAGGACTTTTCAGCCACTTTCTATCTATGATCAGAGACAGATAGCTAGTAATTGATGTGAAAATATAAATACAATTAGTATATTGGTTTTTCACAACCACACAAAAACCTGTCTTTAGGACTTATTTGCTATATTCATATTGCCAATTATGTCATTTCTTTCCAGGAAAAATATTGTAAATTGCTCAAAAATGACCCCATGTATATTGCATAAATTTATATTTTAAATAAACTGAAAAAAGAATCATTTCTTATATAGTGAGACATTAAATTTCAGATGGAAGATCAACAATTACAAGCTCAAAAGGAAGCTTTTGAGCAATTAAATGTCGTAACACTGAGAGCATCATAATGCCTTAGTCAAACTAAATGTTTTTTTTTTTACTCTTTCTTCTCTCCTTCCTTCCCTTCCCCCTTCCCTTATCTCTTTTTCTTTCTTTCTTAGTACTGAGGATTAAATCTAGAGGCCCTCTATCGCGGCAACACACCCTCATCCCTTTTTATTTTTTGAAACAGGGCCTTACCAAATGCCTGAAATTGACCAGGAATTTTGATTCTTCTTCCTTAGCCTCTTGAGTGGCTGGGATTATAGGCATCACCACCATGATGAGCTTTAAATAGATACTCAAAGCTGACCAATGATCAAAAACATTATCTTTCAAGGGTTTCAATAAATTATTATTAATATTTTATTAGTAAAGTTTTTATTAGTAAAAGTTTTATTAGGCACTAACTCATTCTTTCTTATATTTATTAAATCAATATATTTAGAATATAACATATCACAAGTACCCTTTAACATAGACATGTCTATTAGTGCTAAAGAATATGGAACAATTTTCCTGTCTTTAGGATACATATAAACAGCTTACATAATATTGGTCACTATAATGATTAAATTATGTTCAAAACCCTTCCAAAAAATAAAAATATTTCAAAATATAATCAAACCATATGATCAAAGCAAATTAAAAAACTTCACACTGATAATCTAGAATCCAGAATATTAAAAATAACATACTCATAATAATTATTTTTGATACATACTCACTGCTTTAATCAATTCCTTAGTCACTCGCATGCCCAATAGCTTTTCAGTGGTGTTTTTAAGATGTTATTTCCAATATGGTTTTATTATTTTGAATTTTCTCATAACATTACCGTTATTCAAAGTTTCATCTTATGGTTAATATCTTCAAAAGTGTTGACACTTTAATTGACTTTTCTCCATACATTTTTGAATGTGAAAATAATGTGTATATCTACCAAAGTGCATCTGAACCTAGAAAAACACGGCAAATGCATATTTTGTTCTGTTTTTTTCTTATTGAAAGAGTTAAACTAATGAGTCAAGCAGTACTCACAGATGTTGCATTTTTGATTCCATTCAGAATAACTAACTTCAAAAATATTTTAAAAACAAAAGTTTATCAAGTAATTTGTCTTTTTTACATGTTTTAGTAGATTTAGATGCTGGTAATTTGTAGCCTCTTTAGATCTTGTTCCTTTTCAGTATATAATTTAAATTTATCCCCTTAGAAAGTTCACATATTCATATATTATATATATATAATCTATCCCTATATATACATTTTCAATTCTTAAAAAGGAGATATTCTCCAAATCAATCATATGATTTCAGAATAAAATCTCATGATACTAGATATCTTATTAATTTCTTGAGTTCTTATATTTGTAGGGATAAATTTTATTAGCTCTTGTTTACAAGCTTTATTGTCAATAATTAAAAATTGCTAACAGCTCTGAGACCTGAGAAACTCTATCGCTATGCATTGATATTTGTATAAGGATTTCCAACTAATCTTTGAAGAAAGTGGAACCAAATTTAGTGAACTCTACCCCAAATTTTTATATTATTTAAGGAGTTGGGTTTGACTTACAAAATTGTTCTTTAGGGGCTCATGCAGTTCTAAATTTTGTTTGATATCTGGCAGCAAAATGTATCCTTGTGTTGATGTAGTCTTTTTTGTTTAACATCTTAACAACAAACTATTGTCTAGGTTGTTTAAAACTCTGCATACATAAAATATTTTTAATGCTGAGAATATGCCTTTTTGAACATGACTACTAATTATATGTCTAACAAATAATTTGAAAGAATTTCTCTGGCATTGGTTTCTTAATTTAGAATACCACTCTTGTCATCACACTGTAATACACCAAAATTTTGTTTTTATATTACAGAACAAAAATGTTGTGATCCTCATAACATAGCATAAATTTTCTTGGAGAAAAATGCAATACCTAATTGATTAAATATGCATTTTTAATGGGGGGTGCTCATATATGCAAATTTGTAGTCTGGTGACTTTTTGCATCTTGTAGACTACTGTACAGGCTTAAGCAAAACTTTCTTATAAGTACCGCGCGCTAACCGATTGCGCCACTGGAGCTCCTTAAGCAAAACTTTCTAATGTTTTGAGTGATGGCTGGGGCCATGATTAAATGATTTTTTAACATCTGTTGCCTTTCCTGAAGGAGCTAGCTGTCCTTAGGGGCTGAGTGTCCCATCTAGCATGACTTTACCAGTGAGTTAAAATGCATTTGTGTACTGTCTCTCAAAGGGAGGGATTGTGCAGGCTATGAGCTTGAGAAAATAAAAGGAGACATAAAAAAGGGGGCTCATTTAATTACTACCACTGCTTTCTAGTAAATCATATTCTATACACTAACATGTATGTACCATACCTTAAAGATTGCCACTCAGTGGTCCTATTGCAGTTCCTTCTTAAGCATTAAATTATATGTCACGAGTAGAGTGAAATTTGGAAACCTCTAATAAACAGTAATGCAAACTGATAATGTTAAATATAATGAGGAAATTCATATATTTTGGTCATTAATTGAACATCTGATACACAGTTATGGATTGACATATTGTTGAATATCATGTCCCAGAAATGATTTAACTAAGTTTAGAAAAGATGATTAGAAGAAATGAGATGGTGGTGAAGTCAATGATATATAAATGGGAATAATTCTAGAGAAAATTGACAAACCAAGTATAGGGATGGCTTTTTCACATACATATGGCAAGCCTATTAATAAACTAGGGCATTACCATTCTTAAGTAGGAAGTTTAGAAGTGCAGAACTCACTTACTTTATTAACTAATCCTAGAACCAAAATATTTATCCTTCAAACTTTATTTTGTACCTTGAACATCAAATTAAATGGGAAATACTCTGAACAGAAAACCCTGAAACCACAATTATAAAGATTTTTGCTCTGGCTATCTGATAACATGAAACATAGATATACCATGAACTTTGAATTCAGAATTCAGAGAGTTTTAAAAAAATGGCCATTTATTGTATTTAAGTTATTTAACCTATTTCAGATTCAGAATTCTCTTCTGCAAAATGGTATTAACAGCTCCTAATTAACAAGGTTTTAGAGGCTAAATTAGATAAACATTGCTAATATACTACTACTCAATAAGTAAATGCTCCTTCCCATTTTTATGTACATTAGCAAAACTGTCCTCATTTGCAAACGCTATTTGCATCTCTCTATTAGAAGTGGCAGGTTAGTGATGGGTCCTATTTTTAATGCTTTTCTCTCGAGAGAGAAAAAAGGAGAAAAAATTAAAATTCTTCCAGTCAACAGTAAACATAAATTACATGGTATCACTCAAGATCAATTTACAACATTACTAATAGTTATATTATCTGTCATCATGTGTTAAGAGCTCTGAAAGAGAAAACTAGGCTGGAAAATTAGCAGGGCTGAAGGTGAAGAATAAAGTGCACAGAGACCATAGGGACACTATTTATCTGGGGACCACATCTACTTTCACAGGCCTGGAAAATCTGTGGCTTGAAAATATCTGCATTTCTAAAAGAAGACTATTCACAGTCATAGTGAATAAAGGCAAGAGAGAAAAAAGAAAATGTGGATAAGTTTGATCTTACTCAAAGAAAACTGAAAAAAGGATCTTTTAAATTATTTATTTCCATCATTAAACCTATTTTTAGATTACTCCTATAAAGCCCATATATTAAGCATATATACATATTTACGCATCACTTCTGGGGAAACCATTAAACTTTTTTGACATGCTAAAATTTCATTTGAAGATTTGTGAAAAAGTCTCTCTTCTTTGTCATTACTGAATTATGCTACTTATTAGCTGAAATGTCTTTAGAATATAGAATCTGGGTCTTGACAATTTTTTATACTTTATGTTCAGTAATTTCAAGCCAGTAGAGGGCTCCCTGCTGCAATGTGATTCTATAAATGTAAAGTCCAGCAAGAATTGTTAGTAATGAACCAAAGTAGGATTTAATATTCGTTATGGGCTTAACTATTTGCTGTAACTCTGTGTTTAATTAAGTATAAAAAAGATGAATGAAGTAAAGCCAAACCCTACTTCTGACGCTTGAGATATAATTTGGTAATTTTTCCATCATGCAAAATTTAATCTTTTATTGCTATTCCAATTTGAAAATTAAATATTCATCAGTCCTACATCATGAGCCTACATAGACACCTGCAGTCTGATTCTTTTAATAGTTCCATACTTATTTTCTGTTCATTGTTTGATAATGTATTTATTAAATGAGGCTAACCAACTGATCAATCTCCTTAATCCAGTAGTCAATAAAATCAAAGCTCAATGAATGACAACATTTTTTTTTTCAGTTTAGTACTGGTTCCTTTTACTATTAAATTGTAACTCGAAATCTAAAAAATATTGGAGAAAGAAAATACTTTTTTTCCCCAACATTTTTTCAATCTTTTTTCTCTAAGCCTCATTTTGCATGAGTCTGTCAGTTCCCACCTAGTGAAATGCTTGGCAATTTTTGCATTCCCAATAATCAACATACACACAATGCCTTGTGCAGATTTACTTAGAGAATTTTATTAACAATATTTTGACAATTTTTAATAACATAGAATTACTTCATGCTCCTCAATCTTCCAAAAAAATTGAGCAAACATATTAGACATATGTATCACAAATTAGTCTGTTGAACAAACCAATTCTGTCATATTCATTCATTTCCATTTCAATGATGTTTTTCTGCATCATGACACTTGGCATTACATAGTTTGCAAAGGCAAATGCAGTCCTAGGCAGATAACTATTGTAGTATGTCTTTTTGACTACAAATCTGTATTAAGTATAATTTTACCAAACATCAAAAAAAAAAAAGAGCATCCAACAATAGAACAATACAAATTCAATATCCATTCCTCTTTACTGTTGGTAAATTTCCTCCCTTCTTCTTATATGCATTGTCATAGATAGTACCAGTAAATATAACATCAGTATATTTGAAATCATTTGCTTTTCAATGGTAGAGCAAAAGGAAAGTAATTGTTAATTGACTTTAATAGAAAATAATAAATGTAAAAAGCAAGGATAAGTAAGTACATTTACTTTTCATTAGAGAAATCATCCCTATAAGCATTGTATAAGATAATTGCATTTCCATATTCAGTGAAAGTATGTTGTGGCTATGGAAAATTGATTAAAACAAGAGTGCTGTGTACACTTAGGTTATTTCCCAGGACCAGTGGCAAGAAGTTTCATGCTTCTTACTCCCCAGAATGTTATGCAAATGGAATAAAAAATCTAAAGAAATAAAACATAAAAAGAAAAAAAATTGAATTAATACTTTTGTTCCACTGAGTTGCAAATATTTCCTAGGGGAAAATAAACATAAACATTTTAGACAGTTAAATTAGTTAAACTAAATCCAGAAATTGTTCACTCACAGCTTTTAACCAATTTAACTTAAAACATGTTATGTGAAGACAGGAGTGGGAGTAAAATGTTTTGTTTTTGTGTTTTTCTTCTCCCTTATGCTCAGAGATCTGGGCCATTTCAAGGGATGGGCCTATCTGAGTAAGATACTGAACGAAATGGAACTTTGTTCTGGCATTTGAGGATATTGCATGTTGTATATGTTGTATGAAAAGCTCTCATTGATTAAATAGTTAAGAAGCCTTTAGAAAAGGAGAAATTAAAACATTGTTCCTCTTGGAGGCAATATAATCTAGCCTATTATGAATTCCATCCAATATGAATTTGGTTTCAAGTATCATGGCTGATTTACCTTCTTTTTTAAAAAAATCTTATTAACATAAATCTAGCTGTAAAATTCTTTTTAAAGTTGAAGATATAACTAAATTATAATAGGTAACCTCAGACTGCATCAAGTTTGTTGCCTTGCTTTCAAGTAACATCAGACACTCACAATAAATCACCAAAAATTATCCATGCAATTCTCTTGGTTTCTAGTTATCTTAGCAAGAAGCAGTACACAATCCTCCTCAGAAAGAATTACAGTTGTAGGATTTTTTTCATTCCATGTAACCTGAAAACCATGACCCCATAATGCATATATCTGTGCATTGAGGGTAGTTTTTGTACCATCAGGCTTCACTAGACAAACTTTTCCTCTTGCCTCTCCCTACTTTCCAATAAGTAAGCTAAAATTACTTCATGATCTCCATTTTATGGGGGTGAATATTAGAGAGATGATGAAAGAGAGCAATACTCAAACAGCTAGCTGTTAGGATAGGTGTGTGAGAGTTTCTTCATGTGTAAAATTTTTGTGTGTGTGCAAAATACTTCTCCTAGCTATTACAATATGGCCAGTTGCCTCTGGCTAGGAAGATGATAATTATGCCTAGAAGATCCATGGGAGTGCACAAAGGAAGAACACTAATAATAAGACGGAGGCATGGAGCGTTCTGGGGTTAGAGACTGAGATGAAGCCAAAGCCATTAATTCACAGAAAATATCTTAAATTGCACAGTGCTTCCTATTAAGGCCTGAATAGGGGGAAAGAACATCACCACCACAACTAATAACAACAAAACCCTGCCAAACACTAATGTTTAGCTTTGTGAACTGCCCGGTTTCATCTGAACCTTATGGTTCTACCTTATGGATAAGGCAACCCTTATCCTTCACATCAGACAATTAGATGATTTTCTTCAAATCCCTGCATTCCTTTCAGATTAAAATACTCATAATATGAAAAAAATACTAAAAAAGAAAGCCAGCAGTTATATTGAAGCAGAAGTCAAGAATAATATTAACATTATGGAGTTGCCTTGGAAGTCAAGTACAATATATTTAAAGGCTGGTTTTCATTTTGTTACTCTTGACTGTAATTCAAGAGGAATGACCTCATGGGATTCCTTATGGTAGTGCCAGGTAAAATAATACCAAGATTAGGGTAGTATTTGTGAAAGCTCTTAGACCTGTGCAGTGAGTTGCTCTTGTCTCTGAAGATGGTTTACTGATGACAAGATAACCAAGAAGACAACCTTTCAAAGGGGACAGAGATGACAAATCTATAACATCAAATCTATAATCAGTTTGGATCCAGAATATTCTTTGAGCAACTAATAGGTACTTTGTATTGTACAAGTTACTGAGACCAAAAATATATTTGGCAATAAAAGCTTTTATTAATTTTGAATATGGTGTCTATGGTCACAGGACTATCTCCATGGGGGGAGGCTCAGGAGAACTATTTCAGTGAAACCTGAAAAACTGTAAAAGTTTGTATGTCATATTTTCCTTTTCACCACTTCCAAAAGAATGGATAGTCCCTTTCAGACTATCTGTATCTGGATTTAATATTCAACATTATTTGGATTCCCAGTAATAGTTAAAATTCTGACCTAAATACAGAATGAAAATAGCAATTTTAGCTTATGTCTTTGTTATTAGTCCTCCACTTTATCACCAAGTCTTTCCACCTTTGAAACTATAATTACAGTCCTTATTTCCTGCAGTCCTGATCCCAAATACACTCACAAAGACCTTCCCTTTTTTCAATTTCTCCATCTTCCTACCAAAAATTCAGGGTTAAATTTGCAGTTTTATTCAGTTGGTTTGTTTATCTGTTTCAGGCTCCTGTGCATTATCCCTCCCTAAAGACATAAAGCAGTTGAAGCTGATGTATCAGAATTGGATGACAGTAATGTGCAATGGTGACCCTTGCTTAGGCCAGTCACTGTCTTGGGCGTCTTTAATAGATTATGATACCTATCATGACAAACTTCAGTGAACTGGTATCAAGTTTGTTGATGAGGCAATGGAAAGTCAACTTTTAAGTAGTTTATTGAGGAATCATACAACTACCAAATATTAGAGCTGGGATCATGCTTTACATTTATAGTGTCTCACAGAAAATTTAACTGTGAGACACTATAAATGAAGTCCATTCCATAAATATGAACATTCATAGTGAATTTATTTCCTTTTTTTTATAGTAGTCACCTGTATTTGCTTGAGTATAATAGGGATTGAACTAGGGGTGTTCTATCGCTGAACTACATCCATAGCTCTTATTTTTTTTTTTTAATTTTGAGACAGGATCTCAATAAATTGCACACATACCCTTGAACTTGTGAGCCTCCTGCTTCAGTCTCCTGAGTAGCTGGGATTACAGGCCTGCACTACCACACCCAGGTGCTTAGATTTTTTTTTTTTTTTTTACATCAGTAACTTCTAGGTTTCTGAGACCTTTTCATAATATCTTGAGGATACAAATTAGAATTCTTATGTATTGAAACCCAGATTGGTATGAAATGATAGAAATAAAATATCCTTCTAAAAATATATATGACCCTGAAATGTTCACCCTGTGCTATTAGAAATATTCAAGCAAGGAATATTTACTGCTTTTATATTTTTATATATGCATAGATATGTAAATTTAAATATGTTACATATGTAATTTTGAGTTAGAAAATTATTTAACATGGGCCCAACCATTGGTTATTGTAGGCGCTCCACTTAAAAATGTCCCATGTCTAACCTTTCTCTTGCCTTCACATTAAGTTATTCATTTTAGGTTTCCATGTTTATATTAAATGTGTCACATTAGATAATATTTCATTAACACATATTTCCATCAAATATTTGTAAAATGAAGCCAGCAGAATCTCTACTTTGGTTAGTGGAAGAATAAATGGAAATTTTAGCATTTAAAAAAAATGTTTTTTTGCAATATTCTTCTCTAATCTACAGATATGTGGTCCAGATACATACAAACGCAATGCACACTTTTTACCCCTAGGACTGGGCAAGTCCCATGATTGTAGCAGCTGGATGCAAAATATGAAACAGAGGAAGTTCATTGTTAGAGTCAAACTCTCCTTGCACTAACACATCATTAGTGGCCCTTGTCTTCAGGCTATTTCCTTGGCTTCCCAGGGATTTCAACTCTGATGCTTGAACTCTGGCCTCCACAGATGCTCTCTCTGTTTCTACCACCTCTTTCCAAAAAGTTCATCAATTGGCAGGTGGCTAATCTGAGCAATAGTCCATATTAAAACCAGTGGGACCTGGTGTTATTCTGTAGCTCCTCCCAGTATGTCTGTCTTTCAGAGGCCTTATTCGATATGGTGCTTATGAGAGCAAATCAGGCATCCAATTGTGAAGGAGAGAGAAGAGAATCAGAGGAGGTATTTGTGTGCATGTGGCCTGCCCTCAAATTTTAAACCTTCAAATTACAAATAAAGCTAGTGGATTTATGTTGTGTCTATGTACATACGTGTGTTTGCTGGTTTGAGTAGACATTCTACTTATTAATAAATGACATAACAAGAAAAGAAAAAAATGTTACCCTGAGCAGTGGGAAGTTTCGATTATGTAGCAAAATCCCATAGCTTTTATGGAGGTGATAAAATAAAAAAGGCTTCTTATGTCATTTAATCTTTACAAAAACTTACAAGTCTAATGAAAACTTTAAAGTACTTGAATTATTCACAAGAGAAACAAAATATCTGAAAATAGTTAAATTTATTTTGATTCTCAAGCATGTATTGATTATCATAAATATTTAAACAGAAAATACTGAGATGTCTCATTTAAATGTATGCCTACTGGCAGCAGCAGTAAATTGTATATGCATCCTGAATTGGCAATAATAGGAATGAATATGTCAAATGAGTGAAATCATTTTGTTGATAGGTAGAGCTGCTTATTCTACTTGTCAAGGAAGGAACTTAAATCATTTTAAATATCAAATAGCATTCTTGGGAAGATTACAGGATTAATCACTTTATAAAAATCATTGTTTAATTAACTATAAATTTACAGCTAAATTTGAATTTTTATATTGAATTACTAATATTCCCCTGGAATGTATATTATCTCTAACAAATCATATATTGCCCATAAATACCAGAATATATTTTACCTAAAAATTATTTATTTGATACAATGAGGTCCATAACACTAGGTAACTGACTACTACTAAATAGGACTATAACAATCACTATAGCAAAATCTGTTTTAATGAAAACATATTAAACATGCATTATTTTTGATCAAATTTATTCAAAGTAAAATAAAACCCACTACTTTCAAAATATAATTTTTAACACAATGTTTTGGCCTTGGTAGAGGTGACCATTATCTGCTGTACAGTAAGAACTCAAAGAGAAATCAATCCTGAATTGCTACAAAATATCTCTATTTCTTATTATTTCAAAAGAGCAAATAAACACAAATATTACTGGAACATAAATTGAGGCCAAATGTACTGAAGGTCCTTTTGAAATTAAAACATCAGAAAGATATTAGGTAGTGACACATTTTCCCCC